CATAAGTTTAATATATATTTTTAATTTATATTCAATTAACAAATTATCATTAGAAACTAAAATATAATGCCAGTAAAGTAAAAATCTTCTCTAGAACTGGCAAATTTATTGGGACTTTTAGGACCGTTTAGGACCGTTTAACATCCCTATCAATAATAATAACTTTTTAAAAATTCATCGATGATAACAATACAAACATGCCGATAAGTATTGTATTATAAAACATCTCTGGAATTCTGATAATTTAGTAACAACAACTTAAGTTTAGACAAGTAATCCGAAAACACCTTTTTGCATCTTAGCTAAGGTATAAAATTGATTATTGAGGATAGAATAAACTTCACGTGAAACACATACTCTATCAATGACCTGGTGCTAGTTATGATTCAATTAGCTTCTTCAGTCAAGTTATAAATTAATTAGAAATGTACAAATATCTCACTCAATTTATATTAATATAGAGTATCCAATAAATAAACGTTCCAATCTTTCCATTCGTAATAAATATTAATATTTTGGTGAATAAATACAGAATATAAAATTATTAAAATTATTAACTTGGCGAAGATATTTGGTTTTGACTCTGTGTAACCATCAAATATTTCTTCTCTGAAACATTGTCCATATCTTTTTTTTTATGCCGCTCCAAAACACTACAGAAAAGGTGCTAGAAACCGTCTTTTTTCCTGCACAACTTGTTCAATTACTTACAAACTTTAAATTAATTATAATAGTATCTTTATCTGCTTTGCAAAAGTTTACTTTGAACACTTTAATGACAAGTCAGCTAAAAAGTTAATTAGAGAAATAGAAAAACTTGATCTTACATCGCCATCATCTGCTATTCTATCTACGATGTTGTCGATAAAAATTATATTTAGATAGTAATTCCCGAATCTGACAATTCTAGAAATCACATGATCCTTAAAGAATACCATCAAGAAACATGCTTTCCTTGCTGCTACGGTACGTTCTTTAGCGTAAGATCACTAGTTATCTATCAATATATTCGCGAATTAATCTTTTTTTTCACAGGGCGCTTTAACATATTGGAAAATGTCACATTCAAAATTTCGAGAGATCGTACCACATATTATCTCATACATCGATTCGTTATACGTTTAGGAATGCATATACGTATCCATTTCATAGCTGCTTTAGAAATTGATGAGTAATTTTCGAGAAAAAAAACAAGATCTAGAGCACAGTAATTAAAGTTTTGATTGGTCACGAGACATTGAGTCATCGGCATCACATCCCATATTTTCTGATGATGAAAGGCTTATGAGCATCACCCCAACATCTTCCAGATATCGGATTCTTCTGACGATCGTGTATTGGTGAAACTCGGCTTCTTTGCGATCCAATACCTAATCTTTTAATTCCAATTTTTAACAGGATAATCTTAATGATGATGTTGATCTCATCGTGAAAATAAAACACGAGAAATAATTTTAGGTGTAGCGGGAGTGAAAATTTTGGATTATCAGCACGACAAATATCATCACGTTGTCGGATTTCTCTATCATCTCCCTTAATTCTTTAAGTGATCGTGTTCTACTCGGTCGTTTTCGATCACAATCACATACTTGCTGCACCTCGAATAATTTAAATGAAACCTAAAAAAATTTATAAAGTTTTCAAAAAAATACGTTATATTAGATTTTTAAAAGTAAAAATTAAAATTATTTTATTTTTTCTAAACGGTTAGTCAAAACAAAGGCTTCTGATTGTTGACCGACCGTTATCATCCTAATCTGTACAACTAACTATACAAATCGAGTAATGAATACAGAATAGATCATCAAATACATATCGCATCAATTCTCTAATAACGCATATGAACTTTATATTCTTACATACATACAAATTGCTAAAGAATATAATTTCATTAACGTTAATGATATGCCTTACGTATAATATCTTTAAATCAATTTCTTCGTTAATATATTTAGAAATAAGGTACAATTATAGAAAAACAAGTTGGATTTTATATTAGTAATTTCAAATGATTAAAATATTTCTTCAATATGGTATTTCGTTTTCATTGCATCATCTAGGATTCAAGTTATAAGTAAAAAAAAAAAAGAATACTAAATTTTCATATTTCATTCAAAAAAAAAAAGAAAAACTCAACCAAATAAAACCCAATTTTTTAATAGTGATAATTAATGTATTGCCACTTTCGAGAAAATCAAAAATCATGAATAATAATGCTAAAATATACTTTTAAATAAAGATAAATGTCTTTTTAACGATTGAAATAAAATTGTAGAGCAAATTAACGAAAAATTTTTTATTTGTTACGAGAGTTTTATGTAAATTGTGTTTAAAATACAAAAAATCATATTTTGTCATCTTACATATTGAACTGATTTTCACATGACTTGGATTGAGTTTAATCATTTAAATCCTAATATTTTAGAAAATAAATCTAATACTTATCGTTAACGAGAAATAGATCAAATTTAAATAATATGTAGCTAAACAAATTTAGAGTATTAAATTTTGGACCTTTAAATTTTATATATTGTTGCACGCAGTTCGAAACGTTTATAGTTATAAACAATAGAAAAGGTAAGCAGAAGTTTTATTTATTTAAGTGTCTTTATTAATAACAAATGGAAAACCTAACATAAATCTACGTAAATAAGGTATTGCCTCAA